GCTTTCGGACGCAAACAAAATTAAGACATTGGATTTTTTAGTAGGAAAAGTAGAAGCAATTTCAAAAGATACTTAGGTTGTATACAAAAACAATTTTAAGTGGATGTTAAAATAAAATATTCAGTTTGCCTTTGAAGGAAAAGAGCTTCTTAGAATAAATTAAACAAATAATTTAATAATTTTACTAAAAATGTTTTAAAATGTTTTTTATTTTAGGTAAGGCAAACATAATATTTTAAAAGCTCTTGGCTTGCAATCAATTTAAAATCCCTACAGCTAACAAGAGATTTTTAAACTATTTCTATTAAAGTCTCGGATAATCTGGATTATAAAGGAGTAATTAAATCAACCGGAATGTGCTACTAACTGTTTTCCCTATCTTCAGATACAGCTGACCAGTCACTTTGCACCCCTCTGCGTATACGCAATATTCATTGCCCTAAGCGGGCGATGTTAAGACATCTTATTTAGCCAATTAGCGCCCGAGCTGGGCTAACAAATTTGCACAGCTCATCAGCGAGGGCGAAAACTCTTGGCAAGAAGAAGTTTCAGCCAGGTGCTTACAAGCGCTTTGCAATTATTACGGCTCTGCAAAGTACGCAACAATTTATGCACTTTCAGCTCGACTTCAAATCTCCCTTCTTGTCGTTTTCCTTGTATTTATACTTGTAGTTGTATTTGTTGCCCGACCAGTTGGCTGTTTGTTTTGCACTTTTGAGCTGTGCCAAAGATTTGCATTTTCAATTTGTACTTCTTTCCCCGATTTTCCTCCCTTTTGATTGCGAGTGAGAGATAGAGATGAAGACGGATGATGGAGAAGGATTACTCGGGCAGGAAGGGTTCGGAAAATCCCGGGTCTGAGCCTTGACAAAGCGGCCACTTAACATTCAAATGTGGAAACAACATCAAATGCCGTGTTCAGAAATTCAACATTGTTATAGAAATCCGCAGGCTTACGGCACATTTGCCTTGGCATTGGATTCGATATATATGCTGGCCCTTATTTTTTGCCCATGTTTTTCCTTGGCTTGAATTCGAATATAAACCCGGCCTAATGGCATTCGTAAGTGGCGTCTAAGCTGGGGCATTTTGTTTACTTGTCGCTCCAAGTTGGCCAAAACTCTCGAGCCTTTTCCACATTTTGCCCACCTCTTCACCCCGACCTTTGGCAATACAAATTGACATGTTATGCCAGCAATGAATTGGGTAATTTTGAATGCGTATTTCAGCTGGGAAAAGTGGAAAAGTTTTTTCGCATTTTTCAACATTTCTGCCCGGGCAACCAAATGTGATTGTGTCAGTTTGTTTTGTGTAGTTGCGGGTTGCCACTTTGCTGCACTAAATTGCATTTAATTCTGAGATTTGCCTTTGGGTTTTTCCCCCATTTTTTTTCTGCTCGTGGCCTTCACCCAAATAAACCAGCGAATGTGCATATGAGGGTGTGTGTGTGCTGCCAGTGTTTGCCTAAAATTTATGTGTGAACACAATGCTCACCAACACCACTGCCTGCAGCGAAAGGCAAAAAGAAAATATAAACACACACACATACAAATTTTCGCATATTTTTGCGCGGCTTTAAAAAATGCGCGGACTCGAAAGAATTAAAAAACTTGTATGGACACACAGTCACACGTTTCTACATAATAAAACGTTGGCATAATTATACCCTAGGGGACGATGGGCTGTGGTGATCCCGGCACTTTTTGTGGGCAAGTTTATTTAGCATTTTGAGCAGCTTGACTCATTTTAAAGAGGCATAGTTCAGTATAGATTTTTGTTAGTCATTTTATTAAAGGTTTTTGTATTTTAAATACCTACAATTGATATGTATTTATAAAAATTTTTGCTTTTGTACTTTAATAAATTGAGTTTTTGTTTACCTTGAATTTAAGTTTTATTTATTTATCTTGGAATTTTTTAAGAATATATATTTATAAAACAATATAACATGTTTTTTAGTAGTGAATGCTGAAAACCATTTTTTTGCCACTCAGTCAATCAATAACAAATGATATTGTGAATTAATTATTTGCTACTTTGCACATTGTTTTGCATTAGTTCAAACTGAAAGAAAAACTTGCTCTGTAAACAGCTCATGAATTATTTAGAGAACTTTGCACTTTCAATAAAGGTCATTCGCAGTTCGTCCTTTTAAGCAGGTCCCTAAATTTTTTATGAGTTGACGCAATGCAAATGAATAAGTTCTAGTTTTGGCCGCTGCCCTTCGGCGTTGGCCTCGCAAAATGGTTGATGGTTTCGCGGCAAAGTGAAATTCCCCAGACAGACATTGGTTTTGTTTCGCGATTCGTGCGCTCAGATCAGAAGTGTAACAACTTAATTAACTTAAATTCGGTTGATAAGACCGCTTTTCTTTTATGTTTACGATTGCGAACCGAAGGCGAAGTCTTTGAGTTTGACACATTTTCCTTGGCATGCTAGACACGGACAAGTTTTCCACGCTGGCGCTTAAAAAGTTTTCAGCGACGGAAAAGTCTCGGGCAGAGGATTTGCCCAGCTAAGCTGTTGAGTTGTGGGAAGCGCGGGGGATTGAAAAGAGAGAGCCGAGTACTTTGACGAGATTTGCATAAAATTAGGGATTATTGTTAGCAGGATTCGGGGCGTTGCGTGGAAATATTGAACTTTATGCGCATATTGATGGCTGGCAATCCTTTGACACGGCCCTGGTTTTGGATAGCTGGATATCTGGAGACCTCAAACCTCCTTAAACCTAACCCCTGCTGGCCCCGCCCCCATTTTCATTAGCAAATATTTGTGGTCCAAGTAGCTCGCTTTGAGTTATGGCCAAAGCCCGACTGCGGCTTCGGCCTGGCCAATAAATCAACTCAGATAGCCACACGCACACACTCGAGCACACGGACAATTGTGGCCATTCAATTTGATTATTCAATTGCACAATTCTGACAGCAGAGCCGGGAAATGCCGAGGAAGTGCACACAGATGTATTGTCCAGATACCAGATATATGTATGTACGGGTTTACCAGGGAGCAGATACCAAACACAAAGGCTCTGCCACCGATAATCACATTTTAAATGCAAAACGCTTGCATAATTCTAACGCTGATCCCCAACTTCTGCTTCCTTTGATTGCTGGTACACAAATTTATGGGGCCAGGCGGCCAAAGAAAGTTGTCTCTCTATTAAAAATAAATTATAGACACGGTGCCGGGCCGAAAAAATTGTATTTGCCTGGGCCACCGCCACGTCCGGGGCCATAAATTTCCGCAAAACAAACTGACTTTGTGGCCAAAAAGGAGGGGGAGGAGGAGACGAAGGACGAGGCAACAGGTGCACGCGTGCTGGCCACATCTAGGAGTCCTGGCTGAAGGACTTCCGGCCAGAGGCTGGCCCCCTGTCTGCTGTTTAATGCATGCCCTTTTCACATGGATTTGGCTCGGCTGCTTGGGCTGCCCTGGCCCAAAGCGATAAATCACAAAAAATGTTGCTCTTTTGCATTAAAATTTACAACCTACTAAACAAGACAGACGTCCAGAGTTGCCCACTTGACATGTGCACGCGCTCCTATTCTGTATATTATTTGGGGGCCCAATGGAATGAGTGATTGCGCATAATTCGGGCCTTCGTCTTGAAGGCCAAAATGCGGTGGCTTTAAGTCCGCCGTGCCTCGGTGGGCTAATTAAGTCCCCTGCAAGTTCCCCGAAATTTCCCTGTCGAGCCAATTACACGCAAATCAACTGGGGCCCCAGTTGTCAGACAATTAGCGACTAAGGCGACTCAGCTGGCAACCCGGCAAAAGCGTCTTTGGCCGTAATCAATTGAGCGATATTGAGTTATTAGGCTTTTCATGCCGGCTTTTATGGGGGTCCCGAGCGAAAGGGGGCGGGCTGTGTTTTTGCTGAAGTTTCTGCGAGTATGGTTACCCCCAAATACCATTTAATGTGCTCTAATGCGAATGGCATTGACATCCGCTTCACTGGGAAAAAATATGGGATGTAGTAATTTAAAAATAAAACATAATTATATTAGTAGGATGGTACTTTGCTTACAATTGTAAACTAAATTTAGAGCATATTTTAAGATAGGCTAACTATTATTTTGTTATATTATTTTTATCGCTTATTTTGTTATCACTTAAAAATAAACTGCCACTAAATATTAGGTTAGCATTTACTTATTAACTTAATTTTATTATTAAAATATTATTAATGATTTATATTTATGGAAAGTAATATCTGTCACTTTTCCAAAATTAGTTCAGAATACAATTAAGAATAAATCCCATTTTCTCCCAGTGTAAAAGCCAACGAAAGTGAGCCTCAGTCTGAAGGCACTCAGCTGTTAAACGCGACAACGATGATGACAGCCATTTTTGGTAACAGAATGTTTGCTACAACTTTTCGCGGCCAATTTTGTGGCCCACTGACTGACAATGGGAAGTGGCAAAGCCTGTCGCTGTCGCTGTCTCTTTTCGCTGTTCTCTGTCGCTATTGCCGACTCTTTCCCCTGCTCTATGGCTGTCTCTTTTCCCATGTCAGTGACAATTAGATGTTGCTACTAGTGCCGCAGCCAATTTAAAAAAGCAAACATCTCACCAAAAATAACACGTTTTTATTTTTATTTTTATTTTTTTTTAATTTGCCTTTAGAAAAATCTTTTTATTTGAGGATGAAAGACCAACAGTTTTGAATTCGAATATTTATTAAGAGTTAAACATTTACATTTCGTGTTTTTTCCATTCCATTTTGTTGCTTTTTAAATGCATTTTCTTTAGCCAAAATGGGACTCTTAAACAAGCCGACAATATAAACTGTCGGTCTGTATAAAGTAAATTTCAAAAAATAAAAGCACTGTTTTTCACTTAAAATATTTGTGTTTCTCCAATATCTGCTAAGTGTCAATTAAACCGATATCGATAGGTCCAATGGGAAGAACAACTTTCAGCTGTTCTTTTGTATACCTCACTGGCCTTTATAAGCCAGAATTACGGTTGGCTTACATACAGTAAGCTTTTGCCCAGCCATTCGCCATGAAGATGTCCCTAGTGCTGATCTCATTGGTTTCCCAAATGCTGGGGGCCACAAGTCAGCTGGCAGTAAAACAGGAAGATGTGATAACGACAATGGCAATGAGAAGGATAATTAGAACGACCCCCAAGCCACAGAGTCCCTATTGCCAGCCCAAGTTGTGCCCCAAAGGTCGACAGCATGTGGCCTGCGAAAACTATTACTCGGTGAGGTTAATTCTAAATTACTAAAATTATTTCAAATAATTAAGATAACCCCTTATCCCTTTGGTAGAGCCTCCACCGCACCTGTACCGCCAAGGAGATCACCTTTGTGAACCTGACCATCCTAGCAGATAGTATAGTGAGGCACCACAACGAGCGGCGCTATCTGCTGGCCAGTGGCAAGGACTCCGCGCTGCCACGTGCCGCTCGAATGGTGGCCATGCAGTGGGACGAGGATCTGGCCGCCGTGGCAGGATTCAATGTGAGGATGTGCCAGGCCAAGCACGACGATTGTCGCAATACGGTGAAGTACCCGCGATCCGGCCAAAATATCATAGTGTTCAACATGACGCGCCATGTGGAGAAGTCGGTGATGGACATTCTGTACCCCCAACTGCTGTCCATTGCCGTGAAGACCTGGTGGTCGGAGTCCGACAGGATGACCGCCGCCAACATGGACCTCTATCCCTGCGATGAGAAACAGCAAAAGTAAGCTAACTCCATTATGAAGCCTCCTTTAAACTTCTCTTTGTTCGACAGAGCGTACCGCCACTTTGCGGCCATGGCCATCGAGGGCAACTCGCACGTGGGCTGCGCCGGACTGCGCTACGTGGTCAGGAACCTGACCCAGTTCAAGCTGACCTGCAACTACGCCCGGGCTCCGGTGTGCGGACAGCCGATCTACCGCTTCCGGCCCCTCGGATGCCAGACGGGCCGCAACAAGAAGCACTCGTCCTTGTGCTCGCCCACGGAGCTCTTCCGCTGAATTTTTGAATTTGGCAGCACAGCGCACTCCATCGCACTCCATCGAAAGCCACATTAACGCATCTTGTTTATCCATGTTTGTCCGAAAACCTGGCCATAAATACCATCGAACGAAGGGCCCCAAACGAATGGCCATGCAAAATTCAAACAACTCCATCGGAATGGAATTTCTGCCAATTTCCTGTGACGAACCCCGGCCCGAGGTCCTTGGCAGGAAGTATCGATGGCGGTGCAATTACCTGCATAACAGGCGGGCAAAAATAACCACACTGCGAAAATATGCACGCACTGCAAATATATTCGAAAAGAAAACCTGCCGATGCTTTAAAAAATATTTGTAATGCTCTCATTTAATATTAGCAAAACAGGACAAATATTAAAAAAATGTATTGTCAAAATATAGATTTTTTAAATCATTCCGAAGATTATGTGGATCGTTTATTTTTAATATTGTTAAATAAAGAAACTCAGAAAAACGTCAGTTTTTAGATAAATCCTTAATCGTAATGTTCCTCAAAATAAATATGTATTCCTATATTTCCATTTCAAATTTTAAATCTACATATTCAAATTTTTAAAATATTTTTAATCCAATTATAATTTAGAATAAAAACGTGAAGTAAAATGATATTTTTTGATAATTATAAAATAAATATATTATTTTATAAATTGTAGTTTTTCCCGAGTATACTTAGCTGCAACGAATGGGAAATGATAGTAAAAATGCCAGCGACAGACATTTCTATATCCGTAGGTAAAAGCACACTGTAAGTGGAAAAAATCGAAGCGAGATGATGCAATGCCCTTCATTATCGCAATCCCCACTTCCGTCGCCCCTTCGATGGGCGTAAACAACTTGATTAGGACAACTTGATAGGGCTGAGCTCGTTTAATTTAATTTTATTTCTGCATAAACTTTATGGCTTGTTTAGGATTTCCATTTAATGGCCAATCGGGTGGCGTTCGGATCATTAACCGACCCGCTGCAATGGGGTCGGAAAAATCCCACCCCCGTTCTAAGTGGATGCTGTTGCTGAACAGTATCATAAAAGCCAACTAGCTCTCGGTGTTGAACACGTGTTTTCTTTGCAGGGGCAAAGCTACACAGATACTAGATAGTTAATTAAAAGTGCCACACCGATTCAATGGCTGAATGATATTCATTAGAGGGTGCCCCTCTCTTTTCCAATCCGATTAGCACTCTCCAGCGCACTGCCATTCCATTATTTTATGCGACTTCATTTGATTGAAATGCATGAGAGTTGGCCAAAGCGGGAAATCGACTTTTCTCCCACCAGGCAGCTGGTGGATTTGGCTTGGCTGGCATTTAACTGGTTACCTTCCATTTACCCATTTCGGCCACTCACCATTCGCATGTCTGACACCTGGCGAGAGAAAAACTAAAAGTCACCACTTCCGCAGCACATAAATTTGAAGCGCTGCTCGTTTTTAAGGCTTCCTGAACCCCACAAAAAAAAAACAACAAAAAATGCAACAAGCTGGGCTGAATAAAAAAATACTAGACGGTGTCCCTAGCTTTACATTTTTTCCCTTCTGTTCCTTTTTTTTGACGTTTTCCTCTCGCATTGCATGCCAAATTGTTCATGTAGTTTTGAGTTTTTGTTTCGCCACAATTTGTTTTGCCTCGGTTCACCGTTCACTGTTCGCTTTTCACTTTTCCGTTTCCGTTTAGGCACTTGAACTTAAAGCTTTTGCGTCGGCCACAATTTATCAAAGTTATGGCCGTGGATCTGGAAGTAGAGCGAATGTTTGGACCCGTCATGAACCCCTCGAATAAATATCTATTAAAGCCCTTCAAGCCCTCAGATGCAAGTGAAGATTTACGGGGCTCCGTACTCGGGACTCCTGCTCCTGATAATGGTGCATTAGCGTGCAAAGCGTTTTCGATGCACTTCCCACGGAGACAGTTCCATTTCATTCCCCCCCTTTTTCCATTCGCCTCGGTCCGAGGACCAAAGTCATTATCATTGTCAGCACGTAAAGCTTGCTCGCATGTTCAATATGTGTTTTCAGTCCCTGAGTGTGAGTGTGAGTCGGGTTTTCGCGGTTTTCCTTTGCATTATGCCTTTGACCGCACTTTTCTTTTGTCTTTCTGTCTCTTTCTCCCTCTGTGCTCCACAAAAACACACACACTGAATCCCCGGGTGGAAAAGGTGTACCGCCCAAGAGGTAAATGCCACTTGAAAGTCCTTGCTTTTTATGCCCCTGAGGCAGCGCCTAAAAGGTGGGATAGAGTTTATTGGGCCGAAGTGCTGAAGCAACGAGGATTTTAACATTTTTGGCCTACATTTTTAACGAATTGGGCTATGCTCCTACATGGCTTACAGAATATAGGACAAGCTATTAGGAAATTAATGATAGTAGCTTTAAAAAAAGGAGTACTTCAGAAGATCTACCCTATTTTTAACAAAATTCTCTGGAATCCCAGCCCCAGTCCCATTTATAGTTATATTTATAAAGTTTAGCCGCCACTTCTCGAGTCGCTTTTGAGATTATCAGCTCATCGGGAATTGCCTCTGGCGTTGGCTGTGAAGCGCCTGAAAATCGCTCCCGGCACTCATCATTCGGTTCTCGGTTATTTTTATTTTTATGACTTCAACTTCCGTTGGTAATGGAGCTCGGTTTACGTTTATTAGCATACTTCGCAGTGGCTTTGGCCGTGGCTCAAGGTGCGTTTAATGGCGGACATCTAGTTGCCTCCGCCGGGCACTTTATGACTTCATTAGGAAGCCATTTACGAGTGTGTGCTTCAGATGCTTTCCGCCCCGCCCATTTGCCATTTACATCTATACTATATATATATATTCCCTCGATTCCACTCTCTCTCTCCTTTATGGGCCGTGCTGAAGGCCAATTGATTTGTTATAGACTTTGGCAGCTAGAGGGGGAAATCGAGAGTGGCCAGAGCTAAAATCTAATGAAATTTATGCAGGCGCTGCATTGCGGCTAAACATGAATGGGAAGCCTCAAACTCTCACTCTTACTCACCTGCCCATGTGGCGGCAACTTTTACCTGGCTTTTCCGCCAGTTTACAATGTGGCAAGCGTGTGTGGCTACACTGGAAAAAATGTTAAATGTAAATGAAAATATATAAAAATAAATTTATAATTAGTAAATTATTTTTAAGACAAATGATTAAAAAAACCCATAATTTTTGGAATATTTAACACACAGAAAAATTATACATATATTATATAAGGTAAATTCTTTATTATATGAAATGATATCTGAAATTTATGATATCAACATATCAACATAATATTTTATCAATATTGTTATTTCATAAAAATTTTAAAAAATGCAACATTTGGTATTTTATGAACAATTAATGTTAAATAAGATAAATGTAATCTTAATTCATATCAAAATGATATGAAATTGACCTGCACATATCAAGCTGATCTATTGTCAATTTTTTTTTGTGCCCTATTATTATTTTTGTGCAATTAATGCCCCTTTAACTAATAACTATTTATAAAAAATCCCGATAAATAGGTCAAAATTGAATAAAAATAATTTTCATACTTTATTTTCCCTTACATTTTCTAGGCTAATTAGATGGCTTTCCACATTTTTCTAAAGTGTACGGCTGACCTAGTTAACTGGCCGGGGAGCGGAGAGGCCGTCCGGGTTTTTATGAACACTCTGGGAATGCCTTTGTCTCGGCTGTTGGCTTAGCTAAAACCCGACATCGATGGCCAGCTGGAGCCAGATTGGCGACCTGTTTCCCCCTGCCCCTCCCCCTCCGAGTCGAGATCCCAGACCCGATCCGGGTTCAGCATGTGGAAGTAACAGTTTAGCGCTCGAACAGGCCCCAAGTTGCATGGCGTTGGCACTTTTCACTTTCGCCCGAAAAACTAAAGTCGAGCATATTTCTACGGAAAGTAAGAGAAAGTTTACCGTCCTGGCGGCAGCCAAATACAATTTGTGCTCGGTCTCGGGAAGACAAACAACTTAAAGTGCTCGGGAATGGAAGGGATGAGCATCCTGATACAAGGTGTCAGTCTCCTGCCAGACAGCCCGAAAGAAAGGAAGGAAGCTTTTTCAAAACGCCAAATGATAAATGCATTTTTAATGGAGCACCCGAGACGCCCGAGGCGGAAAAGCGAGCATTTTCCGGCGGCAAGAAGGCTTAGCGGTAAGCGTGAATGTGAATGGAGCTCTTTTCTGGTTGGGCGGATGATTAAGCTAATGTTTCGCCCCTTTAAACTCGACGAATTCTTGTTTCAATTAACCGAAGCTAGCGGGAGAACAAATTGCCTCCCACTCTCTATGTAAACAAATGTTCGACACGTGTGTGTGTTAATAAATTGCCGGAATTTAACCTTTTGCCAGGGCAATTGCCAGGCTTTTATTTGTGCAATCAGGCCCTAATGCAATAAACCCCTGTGCCCCCAACAATTGTTTCTACTCACATTCCAAAACGGCGCTTTTCCATTTAATCAATATTCCAAACACAAAGCAGCCAGAAATGGAGATACAATCCAAAAAAAAGAAGCAAAACTTTCAATCCAAAATTGTGGCTAAACAAAAAGCAAATGGTAAGCAGAAAAAGGGAAGAGGGTGCGAGCGCCTAAAAGCATGCCGCACAAATTGAAAATAAATGCTAGCGAAACAAAAACGCCTCGCTGACCATTTTAATTTACTAAGTTTTGATGATGCACAAAAAGAGAGAAGTGGGGTGAAAAAACTAACCCAACCAGCCTGCACATAAAGTGTGTATGTAGTTATTTGATGTATAAAATGTACACGCCAAAGGGGAAAGAGTTGAGCGGTGAAAATGAAAAATAGCTTGCCGTGTGTGCTGGCTGGAATGGGGATTTGCCTTAGATAGTTATTGATATTTGTACGGTCGGTGTGGTCGGGCCAGCACCTGCAAGCAATCAATTCATAATGCTGCGGAGAACAGCATAGCCAGGAATGGCTATCCAATGACCGAAGCAGGGCGAATTTATGGCCACTGGAGGAGATAGGAGATAGAACCGCAGAGCAATGTCATTAACTGGAAGGCGAAAATGAACCAAAGAACTGGAGCTTCTGGGTCTGGCGGAGGGACGGAGGGACGGAGCAGATGGATAAATGAGCTGTTGATGGCCGGCCATAAGGATGCTGTTCGGATAAGCTGGTGAAATTGCTATAAAATTACTAACGAGTTGATTAGGTCACTAAAAGAAAAACGCTTCAATGAAAATGGAAGTGGGACTGGCTTCGATTTAATGTATAACAAATATCTATAGGAGCTATGAATAAAAACAGTTATAAATGTAAATTTC